AAGCAATCGAAAAAATTAAGAGAAAAGAAAAAACTAAAAGTAAGAAAAAAACAAAAAAAAAGAAAAGAAAAAGAAGCAAATAAAATTTGAAAAAAAAACAAAAAAAAAACAGAAGCAAAAAAAAATTAAACCCTTCGTTTTCTTGAAGATTCCTCTATGATATCAGAAGCTGGTCTTTTATCATAACTTCTTGTACTCCTCCCTTCGTCATCCCTCCATTCACCATTATTATCAAAACCCTCATCCTCATCCTCATCTAACTCATCCTCTTCATCCTCTTCATCCTCTTCCTCCTCTTCCTCTTTATCCTCTTCTTCCTCATCATCATCATCACCATATTCATCCCTTACTGCCCAATCAGGCAGATTATCAGGTCGAGGAGCCATCAACATATATGAGCTTCGGCGGGGATGTTTGGAATTAAATTGCACGGCTGTATCGAGGACACCATACAACAATTCGGTAACTATTAAAATAAAAAGAAAAAATCAACATGCAAATAAATTAATGAAATTAGTATTCCTCTTATTACTATTTGACTGATGTTCGGTATTTAAATGATATGCTATATATATCATTCAACATACTGAATATCAGTTGAATGGTGGTCGAATTTTTGCTAGTGTAACAGAAAAAAATTTTTATACCTTTTTCGACCTCCAAGCCAAGCTATGGACATTAACATACAGATGACCTCTTTTGTCCGTTTCTTTACTGTGGTCTGACATTTCAGGTGAATGGATGTCATTATTGGCCAAAACTTTGGTCAATTCATCCATGTCATAGCCGGAAAGTCGATTGTCCTTCTTTGAAAGAAGGTACTTGAACACCGAAGCTCGCCGAGACATTTTTTGTAAAATTAAATCAAAATATTGAAAACTAAAATTTAGTAAATTATGACTTAAAAATCGACCTAAATTTAGTTAGGTCGATTTTTTGACTTAAAATCGACCTAGCTAAATTTAGGTCGATTTTAAGTCATAATATATAATATATATATATAATTCATACATCGCCTCTTCGGTAGTTTTTGTAGATCCGTTCGTCGAAATGCATACTTCGGGTTGGATCACAACGTATACCGCGATTATTACGAGATGATTTGAGACACTGTCTCAACAAGTTGACCAACTCAGTCCGATTTGTTTCATATTTCTCTTCCAAAAAATCGACTAGCGTAGGAATTGTATTTTGGCTTAGTCGATCTTTTTGCTCGTTCTACTTCAACTCATAGTTGAGACCAAAATCTCCACCTCTTTCATTGAGGATATGAAAGAGTTCGCTCTATTAATTTTGATTTAAAAAAAATAAATATAAATATATGTCGAATATAATTAGTATATGTTGAATATAATTAATTACAGTATTAATATTATTAGTTTTAAATTTAAACAAAAAATATAAAAAAATATATATATACTCGAAGAGCTTTTCTTCTAGCCCTATTATTTTCAAACCAAGTTGGCTTGCTACCCCTTCATCGGTTGGAGGAGCAGGCCTTATTTGAGCAGGCTTGTTTGTGCAACTGAGGCTGACAAGCCTTCAGCTGCACTTTCTCCCGGCCATTCGCCCTGACCCGAAGCCTGGCAGCTTAATATTTGTAAAGCCTCAATGTCCTCGGTGAGGGCAGAATAGAAACTTCAAAGAAGTTGGACCATATCTTCTAGGTCCATAATTTTTTGGTCCTGGTCCCTCTGGATCCCACGTAGGTCATCGATCTCACTTCACAGTAGTCGATTTTCTAATATTAAAAAAATAATAATAATAGTAATAATAATAATAGTAATAATAATAATAGTAATAATAATAATAATAATAATAAAATATCAGTTATAAATCGGCATGAATTCGACCACCATTTAAGAAAAATAGATATATATTATAATAAAAATAATAATAAAATAAATTAGTTACAAATCGGCATGAATTCGGCCACCATTTTTTAAAAAAAAAAAATAAATAAATCGGCATATTTCAGTCGTCATTCAAATAAAAAAGAAAAAAATAATAATTATAATATCAGTATATATTCAGCCACCATTTAAGTAAAAAAGAAAAAAAAAAATTAGTAAATAAAACAAAAAATCGGTTATAAATCGGCATATTCAAACACTTGTGAAAAAATTTACCATTCTCCAGTTTTCAATTGCTTTCTGCTAAATCAAAATCAGCAAGAGTTTTCAATCGTTCACCGCTTTCACTTCAGCTTCTGCTTCTTATAGTTCTTAGTGGTGAACGAGGTGAACAAGGCGAATGAGGAGAGGTGGTTCTTTGTGGAGAAATAACTACTGTAGGCTGGATTGGAGTAGTGGATGGTTGGGTCAAAGGGGTTGTCGAAGTAATGGATGGTTGGGTCGAAGGGGTTGTCGAAGTAATAGATGGTTGGGTTGAAGGGGTGGTCGAAGTGGTAGTTTGTCTGACCAAAGTGGTGGTTTGTCTGGCCGAAGTGGTGGTTTGTCTGGTCGAAGTGGTGGTTTGTCTGGTCAAAGGTGTGGTTTGTCTGGTCGAAGTGGTGGTCAAAGTGGTGGATTGTCTGGTTTGTCTGGTCGAAGGGGTGGTCAAAGTGTTGGATTGTTGGGTCGAAGTAGTAGATGGTTGGGTCAAAGTGGTGGATAGTTGGGTTGAGGAGTGATAGATGGTTGGGTCAAAAAAGCAATTGACAGTAAAGTAATAGATAGTTGGGTCGAAGGTATAGTGGATGGTTGAGTCAAAGAAGTTGTGAAAGTAGTTGTGGATGGTTGGGTCGAAGGAGTTGTGGATGGTTGATTCAAAGGAGTGGCAGAAGCTGCCAATTGAGAAGATTGAGTTGTTCGTCGGGTCCTTTTTGTTCTAGCCATAGTTAAAAATAAATTTTTTTTGAAAAACAATCTAGCAAAGTTTGGAGAAAGAAAACTTGGAAGAGAGAAAGTTGAAAAAAAAAGTGTTCGATTTGGTGTTATATTTATGAAAATTTTTTAAATTCCGATTGTGTTGAAAAAAAAAAATTCAATATAATAAGAGAGTCATTTAATAATTACAAGTTCTAAAGTAATTGTACAGAGTTTATACTATAATTACTTTAAAACTTGTAATTGTCAAATAACTGAAAAAAAAATCGACTTATAGCATATAGTTAACGTCATGAAAATAATACTCAATCATATAAAATTTGGCACTTTTAAATTAATATGAAATCAAAACATCATATAATACTATCATTCAACTACTTTATTAAATTATTGTTTTATAATCATCTAACATTATGCTAAACATTATTCAGGAACCAACTTAGAGTTAATCAATAGCTTTATATCTATCTAACTATCGTTACACCAACAATTCATCTATCATTATCTAACTATCGTCTCAATATTTAAGAAACTTGTATATAGTCTTTGACTAACTATCATCGTGCTAACTATCGTCATGCCAATCAACCAACATATCTAAAGTAAACAGACATTTCTCATCTATTTGATTTGTGGTTTGTAATATAATTCAGAAATTTGTATAGAGTTAATCACTTCTTTGACTAACTATCGATTGTCAATTTGTGGTTTGTAATATGATTCAGAAACTTGTATAGAGTTAATCAATTCTCTGACTAACTATCGATCGTTGATTTGTGGTTTGTAATATAATTCAGAAATTTGTATTGTATAGAGTTAATCAATTCTCCGACTAACTATCGATCGTTGATTTGTGGTTTGTAGTATAATTCAGAAACTTGTATTGTATAGAGTTAATCAATTCTTCAACTAACTATCAATTGTTGAATTGTGGTTTGTAATATGATTCAGAAACTTGTATAGAGTTAATCAATTCTCTGACTAACTATTGATCGTTGATTTGTGATTTGTAATATAATTCGGAAATTTGTATTGTATAGAGTTAATCAATTCTCCGACTAACTATCAATTGTCAATTTGTGGTTTGTAGTATAATTCAGAAACTTGTATTGTATAGAGTTAATCAATTCTTCGACTAACTATTGATTGTTGATTTGTGGTTTGTAATATGATTCAGAAACTTGCATAGAGTTAATCAATTCTTCAACTAACTACCGATTGTCGATTTGTGGTTTGTAATATAATTTAGAAACTTGTATAGAGTTAATCAATTCTTTGACTAACTATCAATTGTCGATTTGTGGTTTGTAATATGATTCAGAAACTTGTATAGAGTTAATCAATTCTTCGACTAAGCCAACTATCATCACGCCAATTAACCAACATAAGATCATTATGTTAATTATTTAACTAAAGTAGGCAGACTTTCCTCATCTATATCTATCGATTGTTGAATTATCGAATTTTTTAATTTAAGTCATGTGATAATTCATCTGTGGTTAAGTTGTCGAATTGTGGCATTTAGCATATCATATTTTTTAATTTTTATCAAAATTGTTGACTTTTTTTAATTCGTCCATACATTGGTTGTTATCTAATTGTCAACTTGTGATGTGATAGTGTGATAGTGTGATAGTTGTCGAATTTGTTAATTTTTTTTAATTTACCAATAGTTGAGGCATATATTGGTGGTCGAATTGTGGCATTTAATATGTCGAATTTTTTGATTTTTACCATGTAATATAGATTTTTTTAATTCACCAGTATATATTGTAGTCGAATTATGGCATTTAATATGTCAAATTTTTAATTTTTATTGAATTGTGGTGTTGAATTTTATAATTTGAGTCATGTGATAGTTGTCAAATTTGTTAATTTTAAAATTGTTGAATTTTGATATTTTATATATAGACTTTTTAATTCACTAAGGGTTGAAGCATATATTGGTGGTTGAATTGTGGTATTTAATACGTAGAATTATACATGCTGACAAAATTATTTTAGGTTTCAGGTTACAAAATTAAAATTTGAAAACAAAATTGTTTTTGACCTATTTTATTTAAAAGACAAAATTTTTTGACACTTTTTTTAAAGAGATAAAATTATAAAGAACATAACTACCTAAATTAGATTTGCTTTTGCATATAAAAATTTCAAATTGCTCTAATGCAGACAAAATAGAGGTTTTTTTAAAAACATATTTCAGTGGCATGTATATGTAGAATTTTTTGATTTTTATCATATAATAATTGTTGAATTGTGGTGTTGAATTTATAATTTATCATGTGATAATTGTTAAATTTATTAATTTTAAAATTGTTAAATTTTGATATTTTACATATAGACTTTTTTTTAATTCGCCAATAGTTGAGGCATATATTGGTAGTCGAATTGTAGCATTTAATATGTTAAATTTTTTATTTTTACTATATAATAATTGTTAAATTGTAGTATCAAATTTATAATTTGTTCATGTAATAGTTGTCGAATTTATTAATTTTAAGTTGTTAAATTTTAATATTTTATATGGTATTTAATATATCGAATTTTTTAATTTTTACTATGTAATAATTGTTGAATTATAGCATTTTATATATTAATTTTATTATTATAATTAAATTAATATAATTAGTAAATTCAACTTATAAAATTTGATCAATCAAATTATCAAAAATTCATTTTAAATTTAACTTTGAATTTTAAAATTAAGATAACTAAGTGACTAATAATTGATATATACTAACTAAAAGGTCAATAAATAATAATATAGCTTAAATATAACTAAAATTAAAATTCGATATAAATTTGAGTATTTATTATATTAAAATTATATATGAATTTTTTTATTAATTGGCATAACAGCAATATATTCTTTTGAACCTTTTTGTATGCTAGTTTATAAGGTCCAGGTACAAATTGGTTCAAAATTTAATGAACTGATATTATACAATCATGACTAATTGGAAAAAAGTCTTTAGTCCAAAGTTCAATATTGTATAATCGCTTTTCTTCCTCATTCATTCCAAAATAGAACCTTGTAGAACTATTAGATGCTGGTTTATACCAACGTACAAATGCTAGATTATGTTCTAATTTATGATTGCTAATATTTACTGCATGTCGAATGAAATATTGTATTTGGCCAACATATGTATTACAAGAAGCTCCATCTTGATTAATAAAATTTGCCATTATAAAGAAGCTTCTTGTATGCTGCATTGATATAGTTGACCCAAATACTTCTGAACCAATTTGCAGACAGCCGAATTGGTCTCCAAATGGATTAATTAATATTGAACTTTCATCTCTAATACCACCAAATGGTATCTGGAATAAATGTTGAGGATAAGATGCCGAATAAAATTCAATAATATATTTAATATATCATCAGACATCATTATATGAATTTTTGAAGGAATCAAAAATTCTCTAGGAAAATCTTCAACACCACTAACTGAACTTGTTTCAATGCTTCTTGACATTTGAAGAAACCTTCGTAACTCATCAGTTTCAAACTGGTCTGATGCTGCTAAGCTTCCAACTGTTTTTCTTACTGAAAGCAAATCAAGCTATCTCACAGTATCTGATTGATTAATTAGGTTATTAACTATAGAGTCTTGCATAAGCCGGCGCATTAATTCTGGTTCAATTTGCCGATAACTATTTGGAAGTGAACTAAGGTAGCCATTCATTCTCTCAAATGAGAAGCACCAAAATGCATAAAGTGGCCTATAGTCAAGGCAAAATTGATTAATATGAAGTGCTAGATAAAGATTTGGTGTAATATATTTTTTACTATATTCTACTTCAATTTGTTTAATAAGTAGAATAAACCGGTTATGTTCTTCTTCTAACACAGATATATCAATAATTC